GCGGGGACGGGGCCCGCTCCCCTCGCGGGCAGCAGCCCTTCTCCCGGGCGGAGCTGCACAACGGCCTCGGCCCGGCGCCGCCCCGCGGGCGGGGGAGGCCGTTTGCCCGGCAGCGCCTTGCTGGGGCTGTTCGTCTGGGCGGGGGGCGGGTCGGGCCTCGCCGTCGCCCCCGGGGCTGCGGGCCAGGCCGAGCTGGAAGCACCCGGGGAGCTGGGAGCCGCAGAGGGCAAAGCGCGGACAGACGTGGTTAACGTCGCGTTTAATTTTTTTTCAGTTGGGGCTCTAATTCCGAAACGAGTGGGTGCTGCCAGGCGCTTTTAAAAGAGTTGCGGAACTTGATTAACTTAATATTTTATCCAGCGCAGTTTTGGGGTGCTTAGGGGTCGTGTGAATAAACATTTGCACTATAGAAAAAAAAAACAACAAATTTCTTTTGTAGTTAAAAATAACGCTGGGGCAAATGTAAGCTACGGAATGTATTCCATGGTTATTGTGTTTAACATTAAATGCAAAAAAAGGGAAGGAGCGTGGTCTAATGAATGCAGTACGTAGTCGGGGAGTTAGAAGACTTCATTGCTAATCGTAGTTTTTCTGGTGCAGCGTGGCTGGGCCTTAAACAAGTTGCTTTGCTTCTTTGTGGTTCTGTAAAGCTATACTGTGGTGTGCTGCGGGGCTGCTTGAGAATTAGTAGAAGCACTCGTAAATAACTTTAATAATTTAAAGCTCTGTTTAAGTACTGAATGCTGTATGCTTAATACAAGTATATATAGTTTTGTTAGCCCATGGAAAAACAACGAATGTGCAGTTTAATTCTTTCAGATGAGTTTCAGTTGCACCTATTTTGTATTTGCCGATGAGCTGTTCTTGAAAACCTACCTCCTGGCTTCTCTCGCCAGGAGAATGCACTGAAAGTTTCAAGGATTTATTTCATGTCAGTAGCAATGCATTTCTGGAGCAATGTGGCTAATGCTGTAGACTTAAACAGTGTTTTCCTCAGACTACCTCACCTGTGCTGCAGGTCTTGAAGAATATTCCTGGACTAAAAAGGAATAGTCAAGGCTGTGTCCCATATGCATAATTAAATTTAACATAAATAATGCAGGCTCAGTGATCTGGCAGTAGTGGAATTCGTAAGACCACCATGATTTTTCTCTGTCTTACCTTAAAAGGTATTTAAAGCATGCTTTTTTTTTCTCTTTAGCAGGTGGGAAGAATGAAAGGAAGCGGGGATGAAAGAATGTTGAACCTTTTTGTTTGGCTGTATGATGGAAGGAAACAGGACAGAGAACCTCTGCAATAGATCGTTTGGATGGCTTCAGCGAGAAGAGAATGATGCTAAACCATGGCTCTGGAAACTTTCTAATTGCTTTTCTGCTGCTGAAAAGTCTTTGCCTTGCAGTGCGAAAACGGTAATTTATTGTTTTACTAAAAGCATAGTTGATATCCTGATACAGAGCGGTATAACTAACTGCAGTGTTATTGCTGACTAAAGGGGGCGAGTGGGGAGGGGAGAAAGAGGAGACAGCAGTTACCATGGTAAGTACAAAATCTACCTGGGGATTTAAGGTCTGTAGTTGTGTTTGCAGCTCTTTCATCAGTGTTGGTGAAAGCAGGCAAGTTGCTTTGCTTGAAGGGCTTTACTTTCTACAGCTCTGTTTGGAATAACACAACTGACTGCTTTAAAAGTACATAAGGCAGCTTCTTGAAAGCTCTGTGAAGTTATTGCTGAAGAGTAGAGTAGGGAAGTAGTCTTTATGCTTCCAGTTTTTTGTCAATTTAGTTTGGAGGTAACTTTAGAATTTTCTGAATTATTATTATTATATAGTAGTTACAGCAATTGTGGATACTGTTCTTTGTGAATGTCTTATTTTTTCTTGTTTCCATTGCTTTAAATGTTCCTGTTCTGTAACTGTATGATTCTATACTTTTAAGATGCAAAGTGCTAAGGAATAGGACAACACAATGACTTTGAGCAGGCAAACTCCAGCTGTTAAGTAACATTCATGCATGTTCAGTCTGACTTTGAGTAAAAGACATGGGGGAAACAGATAAGCATGTATCCTCTTGTGTTGCTGTTCTCATGTGTCAGGGGTTAAGAAGGGATCTGCCGTAAATTCTGGAATTAAACATGTAGAATGGTTCTAGACAGATTTTTGGCAGACTGTATCTTCAATTCGTAAGACGTGGCATCAGGCAGAGAGGAATCGTTTTGAACTTGGGTAATCAGTTATTCGTTACTGTGTGGTAGGAAATGCATTAAATTCAATTTGGAAAGTAAAAGTAGTTCCAGAGTACTGGCCTAAAGCTCTGAAGCAGCGAGTTGTACGCAGGTTAGCTCTACTGACCTTGACTGTTATGGTGTTTCTCATAACCTTGCTTAGTTTTCACTGCTGCTATTTAAAAAAAGAACAACAAACCACTGTATTTTTGTCTATGCTTTTATGTCTGTACATCTTTGGTATCTTTAATCAAAGTAGGCAAAAAGTACTTACGTAGTTGTTGTGAAAATTTAGTCTTCTCTGTCCTCAGTTTGTGCTTGATATAATTTCTATTTTTTTAAGGTCTTAGTCTTTTAATGCATTACTTCTAGAAGTTTAATACAATTTTAAAGTTTTTATTCAAAGTAAAAGATCATTACTTATGTACCTCCAAACTGAGGTTTTTTTACTTTACATTGCATCTATCTATGTTTGCTTTTACAAGAAAAATCTTTTTTTTGCTTTGCAATTTCAAATCTCTCTCAGCCGAACATTTTTCTGCATTTCAAATTGTTTTACAGACCCATTGCTGTTTGGTTTATAGCTCTTTGGTTTTGTTGCTTCCAAAATCCACTGATACAATATACTTCGTGTTCAGATAGTGAGGTAATAATAATCATAAAGATAACACTTTTCAAAATTTCTGTTACTGTCAAAATTGTAACAGTCTAAAAATACGCTTGCTTATACTATAAAATCATTGGTTCATTTATCTATCTGAACATAACTGAGCTTTCATTTTCCAGAAGGATTACATGGAGAACAAGAAAGCTGCTGCAGAATTGAAGGATGCTTCATTTCCTCATAATGCTGGCTCTAAACTGTTTCCAGCAGTACCGCTTCCTGATGTTCATCCTCTTCAGCAACAGCAAATACAGCTTTCACCTAGCCCGAAAGTAAGCTGCTGTGCTCATGGCTCTGACTCTTCTTGTACTCCACAAATGCATTGTGGTGGTGGTGGTGGTGGTAACTTGATTCACCCTGGCACGATATTAGACTCAAAAAGCACTGGGACGATTACGTGTCAAGTAGGGTCAGGATTTGCTTATCCGTCTGCACCTTCACTGAAGAGCCCTCCAACTAGAAGCAATTTGGCAGGCATTGCAAGTGAATTCCCTGGCATGTGCGTAGAAAACAGTGTATCTTCCTGTCAACATCTGCCCTGTTGTGGAAAACTCCATTTTCAGTCCTGTCATGGTAATGTGCACAAACTGCATCAGTTTCCAGCCCTTCAGAGCTGCACATCTTCTGGCTATTTTCCTTGTTCTGAATTCACAACTGGGGCTACAGGTCACTTGGATGAGCATATTGCACAGTCGGAGCTAACGTCGCGTGTGTGCGCCAACCCTTTGCACCTAAACATGGCACCTTCAGTTTGTTTAAAGGGCTCTCACTACTGCAATGACTGCTTGAGCAAGGTTTGTACACATTGTGTTTCTCATTCATTAAGCATGGTATATGGTTAATGTTGAAATAATGTTACTTGAGCAAAACTCCAGCTTCCACGGGTTGCAGCTTGCATCCTCCTCGTTGGTGATGCACAGTTGAAGTGTGCCAGATATCCTTTTTGAAGATGATCTCTTTTCTGAGGTAACATTCAGTTCGATAGGAAGACAAGAAGCTATCACAATGTTTAGCTTACAGGGGATCTGTAATGTACTCAAGCAGAATTTTGAATGGATTTGAAAGACAGTTATCTCTTCCTGACAGCTCTAATTAAAATGTTCCATAGTAGTGACTCTGAGAAAAGGCTAACAACAGTTAACATGTACCCTTGGGCAGCTGATCAAATAAAGATCCATTTGTAAGTCAGGTGAAATGTCTGATGCTATGAGGATATTCTAGTTTTGGTTTGATAGGTCTTAGTCCAGTCTTCCCCAACTTGTAATTTATATTTCAATACCAATTTGGTACACTTTAGAACTGATTAAAACTGTGCTTGAATTTTAATAGGAATTTCAAGTGAAATAATATATTCAACTTTGCAAGATATGTTACTTCTAAATTTGAGTTTCCATTATAAAAGTGAAATGTCTTCATTTCAAGAAACTAAATGGTGAATTCAGTATTGTCGTTGCTTAACCCCAGCCAGCAACTAAGCACTGCGCAGCTGCTCGCTCACTCCCCCCAGCTTATATACTGGATGTGATGTCACATGGTATGGAATACCCCGTTGGCCAGTTTGGGTCAGCTGCCCTGGCTGTGTCCTGTGCCAACTTCTTGTGCCCCTCCAGCTTTCTCACTGGCTGGGCACGAGAAGCTGAAAAGTACTTGACTTGAGTCTAAACATTACTTAGCAACAACCCGAAAAGATCAGTGTGTTATCAACATTCCTCTCATACCGAACTGAAAACACAGCACTGTACCAGCTACTAGAAAGACAGTTAACTCTATCCCAGCTGAAGCCAGGACAAGTGTGTTTGGAATTATGACCACTATTTTTGTGGGGAGAGAGGCAATTCAACCTTGTACTCTTAATTGTGCTGATTTCACGTGCTAGGCTTTTTTTTTTTTTTTTGGAACATGTTTTTAGTACTTCTTAAAGATGGCCTGTCTTGATGCGCAGAGTTCAATAGCGTCTTTCCTTGCATTTGGAAATCCAGAGCTAAGTATGCTAGGAAAAACTCTAGGAGAGGAGCTTCCTTCATGCAGTGAGACTGTTAATTAACTTTGTAGAGTACAGCTGAACTTGTATTTGTTGCAGAAGGGAAACTGAGCGTTTCTAGCATGGAATAGTACGTGTTAATATTGTATACTAAATGAACATGTATTTTGAAAAATTGTCCCAACAGCCAACCAGAAACAACCTAGTTGATGCTGCTAAAATCTGGCCAAATATTCCTCCTCCAAGTGCACAGACTGCACCTGCTCCTATCCCAATATGTAATGGCTGTGGAACCAAAGGAACAGGAAATGAGAAGAGTTTGCTACTGGCAAGCAGCCTTGGCAAATCACCGCAGAAATATGGTAAACCACGTTTGTTTGAAACTTGCACTTAGTGGATGTCCTCCTTAAATGCTGTTGCACATGAAGAGTTCCCTTAAATTGCACTGTTCTCTGGAAACTTCTGTGAAGTCATAGAAGACTAAACAGTAAAAAAATACCTTGTTTCTGTTTCGCAAAGTCATAACTTGGATTTACCTGTTGTGACTACCTAGTTAACTTACTGTATTGTCTCCACAGACTTTTGATTTTTTTACTGTTATATTTTTTACCATTTTAAGAACTAGAAAAAGAAGATCTAAGGACTTGGAAGCTATTTCATTCTGGTGTTGTATAAAGAAATTATCTTCAGACATACTTAGAAAAGCTTTTTCTTAGTCTGTAGTGCAGTAAAGTTGTAATGTTTATAATTGCAGTATAGCTTTTTTCAGTGTTTGTGAGAGGAAAACATTGTGTGAAATAACTACATGGTTTTTCTACAGGGTTAGTACTGCTTCAATTACAACATCATAGCTAGTGTTAAAGTTATAAACTTAAAAAAAAAAGTCATGGGAGAAAAATTGGATAGCTTTACTATAATTTTAAGAGTACACCCATTTTTAGGTTTGTAAGGTGCAACACCCCAATTAAGTGTCATTACAAAATGCAATTCCAGTGAATCTTGCAGAAGAATAACTAGTCATCATATACCTAAACAAATACACTTGCTGGCTGTGCTTTATTTTATATTCTCAGCTAACTTTAATTCTTAGCTTGTTTTTTGACCTGTGAGGATTCTGCGTCATTCCTCATGTTTCTTTTCCAGTTGTTCTGTGGGCATGGAATGGGTGTATAATGTTAATTCAAAATTAAATAGATATTCAGAGTGCTGAAACACCAGAAACTTTATTTGCACTTCTTAGCCTGTAATAGCAAAAATTCTTAACCTCAGTCTCCTGAACTGTAGGATACCTTTGTGTTTGTTCCATACTGCCTTAATTTTCTATAATCACGGTCACTATACTGGTAATCTCATCCAGTTTTGTTTAGATTCTGTATCTAACGCACACTGTAAATTTGAACAGCTTTCATCTTTCGCTTCCATTACGGATACAGCACCCGCTGAGTTTAGTGTGACACAACTTCAGACAATTTTAGTGTCACATGCCACCTCAGCATTTGATAACATTTCTTTTAAATACATTACTTGGTTGTTTGATAGTTTAAAAGTAAAGCTGAGGTTGTCTTGCATCTTTATCCTAACTTAACAGTGACTGAATTTCTGTTTAAGACTGATCTGAGGTTTAAAGTTTCTCCCTTAAAGAGAAACTTTGAAAACACCTGATTTGTTTTTTAGATTCCTTAAGCAAATAAAACTGAACTTGTGTTCCTGGGAGTGTTGTTCTCTAAAACATAAAGCTTCCCATATACAAAGTTTATAGTACGCTAAGTTTAACATTTTTGGTATTTGGAGATTAAAATGAGCTGTGTTGTTAAACCTGTACAGGGTCTCCGGAAGTTGCAATAACAGGCCAAGTTCTGGAAAACTTGCCCCCCATTGGAGTCTTCTGGGATATTGAAAACTGTTCAGTTCCCACTGGCCGTTCAGCTATAGCAGTTGTACAGAGGATTCGTGAAAAGTTTTTTAAAGGTCACAGAGAAGCAGAATTCATCTGCGTGTGTGACATTAGTAAAGAAAATAAAGAAGTTATTCAGGAGCTAAACAACTGCCAGGTATCAAAACAGCATCTACTTGGTGTTCTTGCTTGAGAATTTGTGTACTCTGAGTGTGCTAATAGTGATTCGTGTTCACTAAAGCTGTATGTTAGCTTCTGTGTTTAGTGCATGAACTTACAATTAGTTTATGGGTTGGGTCTTTAATGCTGAACTTTCCTGGTGTGATACTTTTTAAAACTGAAACTGCATTCCATTTTTTGTAGATTACTGTTTTAGCTGTAGTTCTAGTGTTCATAGAGGATTTTGATTTCATCCAGTAATAAGTGGTGGTGGCATTTCTAGTGTTATCCTCCAAATCTGTGACTAAATCATTAACCTAAAGGAACTATGACTCTGTGAACTTAATTTCTTTTACTTTTGTTAGTGAGTACCATGCTGATTAGTGAGGACACTTGTAAATTAGTGGTATTGACTGGGGCACCTTTAACATTGTATATTTTCCATCAATACCTTTTGTTTCTTGGTATTTTTTTAACTTTTTGTGCAGGTTTCTAAGTCAGAAATTCCCTTCCCACCCCCTGAATTGCAGATATGATAACAGGTTGACAGTTTATCTGCTTATGTGAGGTAAAACAAACTGATAGTGAGTACTTGCTATGTTTGTCACCCCCTTATTTCAAATGAGGGTTTGTGGAATGTTTTTAAGGTATGTAGATGGTGATCTTTAACACAGAACAGCAGAACTCATCCCTACGACATTGCTGTATAACTGGGGTTGAAGTTCGTTGCTCATTAGAACAGTTTGAGATCCATACATGTTGTATTTCATGCACGTGTGCATTAATTTATCTAAATAAAAGGAGCACGTAAAGGCTTGGTTTTATGTTAATGTTTAAAAAAAAATTATATTTAGGCAAGCATAGTTCACATCAAGCTTTCCTTTAGAGCTCATCTATATTTCCACAGGTGACTGTTGCACACATCAATGCTACAGCAAAGAATGCTGCTGATGACAAACTCAGACAGAGTCTTAGGAGATTTGCTGATACACACACTGCACCTGCCACTGTGGTTCTTGTGTCAAGTAAGTGTTTGTGGTACTCATCTACAGTGCAGAATTCATTTCCTCTCCTCTTCAGTAGTACTTTTTGTATATGACAGTATTCTGCTTTCCAAGGGTTGTGTTTAGAATCAGCTTTAACTGAATTGCTCAAGAATTCTTAATAATGTCGGTGGCAGCAAGGGAGAGATGAGAACTTCGCTTAGTTAAATTAGCACTGGAATCTGATGTCTTTTTGAGTGTCAGTAGGTATGCATATAAATACTGTCTAAAGTTAGACAGCTTCAGCAGGAAGCTAATAAAGTAAAACTCATTGAGTTTTCCTTATGGTAATCTTTCAGAATGCTTTGAGCAAAATGTGTTTGATTTGGTTTTTATTCTTGTAGCAGCATACTATGCAGTTGAATATGCAAGCCACTCAACTATTTAATTGCTGTGTGTTGCCTTGGGTTTCTCCCTAAAGCTAAACAAATGCTTGTTAAAGAAGTATACAGTACCAGTCAAATGCCTTGCTGATAAATTGCTAGAAGTTGCTATTAAAACGAAGCCCTTGTCTGAGACTGAATGCTAACTGCCGATGTAAATTATGTCTATTGAGAAGCCTTGTAGCTGTTAGTGCTTTTTCATTGGAAATTTTCAGTAATAAATAGAACTTGTCAAGTGAGATCTGGGGTTTTGTTTGTTTGATCTGATTTTTTTAGCTTTTTCATGTGCTTCCTTGTTCATTTTTTTTTTTTTTTTTTCTCCAGCGGATGTAAACTTTGCTTTGGAACTCAGTGACCTGAGACATCGACATGGTTTTCGGATAATTTTGGTACATAAAAACCAAGCTTCAGAAGCACTTTTACATCATGCTCATGAGCTTATTTGTTTTGAAGAATTTATTTCAGACTTGCCACCAAGGTTACCACTGAAAATGCCGGTAAGGTTTTTAATTCTTAATGCGACAGACACTTTGAAGTGTCAGCTTTCTTCCCCCCCCCCCCCCCCCC